AAATGTTGTTTCAACATATTTGGACATTTCTGTAAGCAGTATTTAAAGAACAACTTTATTTTTTGTCAATTATTCACCCTCACCCTTCTGTGCAGCCCGCCTGGTAAAATACTTGGCTTTCTCCCACAAGTTTACTGTGCAGTCCTGCCAGGAGCTGCACAGCCTTCCCAAGGAAATTTTCATGACTGGGTCCTCTTTCTACTGCACACATGTGCTATGGCCCTATTTATTCATCTGGTTGAGCAGGACAGCTGGGAGCCATCATGAGTATGACTCATTCACAGAAATGAATGGGACTGTGGTGCATGTGTGCAGTAGGAAGTGAACCCAGACATAATGTTTTCCTTGCAAAGGCTGTGATGCTTATGCACTGTAGAATCACACAGTGAAGATCACGGGAGGAAATCCAATATGTGACTAGGCAGGTTGCCTTTAGGGGGTGGGGGAGTCATGCTTTAACTCTAGTTGAATTAGTCAAGATTCTATTTATTTATCATAGCAGAAAAGGTAGAAGAAAAGCTTGAACCTGCAACACATGGCACATTTTATGTGACTATTCTGTAACTGTGGATTTACTAAAGGCATATAGGCTGTTAACTTTGCAAGATATTTTGAACTGTGGAAGGGAAACTTCTCTTAACTTAGTGATTGTGATAATAATTCCCTTTGCAAAGAATACCCAATCACAAGCAAGAAAAATAAAAAAAAAGTATTTTTACTTGCACATAATTGAATAATGGAAGTCAGCAGAACTCCACCCTTAGCTAAGGGAAAATTCTCTAAGCTAAAGGAAAATTACTTGCACAGTGCAAATTCACTGGCAAAGTCAACAGCCTATCTTCACTTAGTAAATTATCCCCTGAGTTCATGTAATCAGTAGTCATTGGTCAGCAGTATAAAACTTGCAAAGAGTAACTTTGTTTACAGTTAATTATGTCCAATAGTATAATCAATGTAGTTGTTACAAAAATAAGTAAAAAAAAAAAAGAAGAATAAGACCTCCCAGTGCTGACAGTACTTCGGAAATGGCACAAGATGTATAATGCCAATATTTTTCCAACCACAGATTTTAGTCCTCCACCTTTTAGTGTTCCTTAAGTCCTCGTAGACAGAAATGACAGCACACAGCCAAGATATAAGCTTTCCATAAAGTCTAGGATAATCGAATATAGCTCCTGACAGTGTGTAGATCATGCAGTGTAAATTACATTACATTGAAAAAGAATGTTTATTTATGTATATATGTATGTATTTTTGACACAAAGCCCATTTAAAGTTAAGCTTGGTGGTTGATTCGAAAGGTGCCCATACACCTTACGACCATCGCAACACTTTTGTCTTGCAATGGTCGTAAGCTTATTAAAAGCTCGTACGATCTGCCCATCTTGGACAGGCAGATCCTACTTACGATGACCGCAATGCAGAACGGGCAGTGTGCGCGTGCGCACACCAGCCCGTTCCGCAGCTGTCGAACGAGCAGGCTAGAAACCCGCCGACAATCGTACTATTCTTGGCGGGTTTTTGAGCATACTGGTTCGACAAAAGAAGTTCAACCGTACAGTAAAAAAGGTCACCCGTCTTCGTTCACACTGCTCGGCCGGCCGGGAGCTTCTTGGATGTAACTGGGCATGTATACACGGCGCGCGCGAGCGGGAAATCCCGCTATTTGAAAAGAGGCAGCGATGCCCGTTAATATACAAGCGATCCGCCGGCTATAGAGCCGGCGGATCGCTTGTATGAGGCCCCAAGACGTGCGCCCCCTCCGCGGCTCTCCCCCCCTCCCACTGTCAAGCTGGTCCCGGGCTCCGGTGTGAGCCCGGGACCAGCATAAGGCCTCTGTCACAGGGGATCAGAGGGAGCTCGGTACACGAGCTCCCTCCGGTCCCCTCTCTGATATTACATCACTTCTGCATTCTCGTGTCACTCTACAGCTTCAGATGCTGGAGAGAACCTGATGAAGCAGATCTCTGCTTCATCAGCTTCTTCAGGGGGGTCCTAGGTGACATTAAGGGTCTTGGAGACTCCTGATGTCTCCATAAATTGGACCTTTAGCCCCCTCTGTGTCTCAGCCCCCTCTGTGATAGCAATAAAGTTAAGTGAAAAAAATAAATAGTAAAAAAATGTAAAGTTACACAAAAAAGAATTAAAAAAAACAAATTTGTTTTTTAAAGTCCCCACCCCTACATACACGCATGTAAACATGCGTCAGGTGCGCATACCTGCGAAAACGACGATTGCGCCCATTACGCCGCACATGTTACATATCGCCGCGAACGTCGGAATGAGAGCAATAGTTCTAGAGCCATCAATCACTGATAAAACTAAAATGATGAGCTGTAAAAGCTTTTAAAGCGTCACCTATGGCCAATTTTGGGTATGCTAGTTTTTTGCGAGTGCGCGCAATTTTTAAGCTTGACATGTTTGGTGTCATTTACCCGACGTGACCCCGTCTTTTATATTTTACCAAAAAAGTGGGTAATATTAGTTGTTTTATAACATAATGTAAAAAAAACTTTTTTTTTTCAAAATTTTCAGTAATTTCTCCTGAATATAGTAAAAAATAAAACCTGCAGTGGTGATTAAATACCACCAAAAGAAAGCTCTATCTATCCCCCAAAAATGGTATAAAATTCATTTCAGTACAACGTTGCATGACGGAATAAATGTCGGTCAAAGTACTGCAGCGCTGAACACTGAAAAATGGCCTGGCCAGGAAGGGGGTCTAAACACCTGGTCTTCAAGCGGTTAAAAGCAAGCTGTGTAGGTGGAAATTCTAATTTACTTCTCATATTTTTACTATATTCATGAAATATGAATACTTAAAATATATGAGTTTGATGTGTTAGGATCCTCTCTTGAAAATGTTCCTAAACCATGCAAAAACTACAACTGCAAAGAATACAAATTCTACAAGTATTTTGTATGTAATGATCTTGTGTTTTTAATGTGGTGAATACAAGTATTTAATTCCTGAATAATTTGTTAAACCTGATAATAATAATAATAATTTAACTCAAAATTTCTGTAAAGACAATATGGCAATAACTTTTTTTCACATACTCTACCAGATTCTACTGTGTACTAACATTATTTAGTTCAGTGCCTTAAGGAGATAAATTCACATTTCCTCTTTGAGACTGTAATACTATTTATAACAATGCTCACATCCTTTTAATACTATAAAACAGATATTAACATATGACAAATACCTTAAACTGTAAAGCCCATTTTCACGATTGAATTACAGGATAAGTAGTTATAGTAATTTTTTTCTTAAACGTAAGTTATTCCATGTTGCAAACAAAAGATCTACAAACTGCGTAAAGCCTAATCTAAAATATTTGAATTTATTCTAGCACTACCAACCAGTATAATAGAGTATTTCTGAATGTTGTGTGAATTTTTAATTAAGTGAATAAACATACCTAAATATGCAACTATTGTATTCTCAGGGTATGTTTCACCACTTTGGAAGATACTTTTCTGTTAAAATATTTTATTTAGCTGTTTTTGAATGTGTTGATTACAAAATACTAAAAATAGTCAGTAAAATAAGTAAAGTGAGTACTGAGATCATTTCAAAGAAATATTATTTCTGCTTCTACTACTTCTAATATGTAACGTCATGGCTCAAGAAACAGAAGAATAGGTTTTAAAACTGCTCTTTGCAACAAACAAAACTTAAAACATTTTTACATTAGGAACAGGAAAAAATTGCTTATCAGGACACTGACTGGTAAAAAAAAAACATGTTAAATTATCTAACTAGTAACATGCTAAATGTAAAAAGGATGCTCCTTTCAAAATTAATGAGATATATATATCTATAGATATATCTATAGATATATCTATAGATATATATAT